GTCGCTCACTTCTCCAGTCATTTGGCACTGACAAACGGCAGATAACAGATGGCCATTAGGTGGCAGGTTTCCCACAGATTCAGGTTTGTGGTTTGGATACTTCTAAAGAATTAAAAACATGTTAAGATGAGGCAAAAAACAACCAAGACCGACTCATATAACATGGTTTGTTCTAGTCAAGGCTCTAGTGTATCACTATGAGTTTGTTTTAATTACATTTTAATTTAAAAAGATATCCTTTGCTCCCCAGGGACCTCCGTTACAGGCCTTAGGGGATTCATAAAACAAAAATTACTATGGTATTGTGCTTTAATGCATGAATTTATAGTTGGTGCACTCTGTTTCTTCTCAGCGCTGCTTTTACAACGTCCTCGCTGCTTCGTGATCCTGAGCAGCGAATGTGAAAGGCCTTGTTAGACGTTTTCCCTCTGAAGAGAAAATGATATCCTTTATATGATATCGAGCAGAGTCGGAGTGTCTGTAGCCGAGGGCTGTGTCAACAAGACTGTGATTAACAATCTTATAAAGTGGAGAAATGACTGTTTACCTGTTGGCACGTCACACTGCAAATATTTGCACAATTGACAGAATGGATATCGAGTAGATTTTCAGAAGGGGAAAAATCAACTTTCACACTGATCAAGACGTGCTCTATTCGTCATTGTGTCTTAGTTGACAAAAGACAGTGAGGCAGAAAAGTAAATTTACTGGAATACACAAAAAAAACATTGACTGGAAATATGCGGCATATTTCCCTCAGTGAGTCTAAGGTGTCTTTTGAGCAGGATTGCTTTGATTGCAGTGCTTCATATCCTGCTTATTCCAAAGACTGTCAGCTTAAGCATTGTCATTTGTGTAGATATATATTTGCAGCCTCATCTGCTCATCCATTTCTCCCTCCTCACTAACCTGTGTGGCATTTCTCATCCAACAGTGACAACACAGAGGACAAGGAGACTGAGGTCAAAGAGGAATCCAGTGGTAAGGAAACGTCTTCTTCTTTTGAGCTTTCTAACTTGCTAAGAATGCAGATTATGGCGGAAAGAAAAAAAAAGTGCAAATCAAACAGCACGCTTTTGGACAGCTGCAGGAAATGGAGGGGGGAATAACAGGCCCCTTTGCTGATTTGAGGTCCTGCTCTTTCCACTTCTTGAGACTCCGGCTGTCTGTCTGTCTGTCTGAGGGGATTTTACCACCCCCATATTCAGCCACACTCATTCATCCACTCCCTCCACAGTCAAACTGCAGCAGCCCCCAGTGAGGAGGAGGGTGGTGGTGGTGGTGGGGTTCTTATTGGTTCTGTCCTGCTGAGGAACCGTGGGAACCGAGTCCTGAGCGGAGCAGGGCTGAGGGAACAACGTTAGGGTAAACCGGGGAAAGAAACCCCCCTTGAAAAATAAATAAATATGTATATATATAAATGTACACAGGCTATATCTTTGTTGTTAAAAAACTACATTAAAATAGTGAAAAGGGGATTCGTCCCCCGGTTGTGGGAATAATCTTAGCTGACAAACCACTTTGAGCAATGCTAACTTGTTACCGCCATGTAAGATAACTATTTAAAAAATAAAATAAAGATCTCATTATTAACATTTAAATTCATGCAACAAAAAGAATTTAGGATAGCTAGCTAGTGTTACAACAAGCTAAAACAGTGCAACATTGTTAGATAAATGTAAAGTCAGTTAGTTTGTTAGCTGGTGCTACAGCAAGACAATATAGTGTAACATTATTGGCTTAACATAAATCCAGCTAGTTTGTCAGTGGTGCTACTGCAAGCTAATAAAGCGTGACATTATTGACTAAACATAAAGCTAGCTAGTTTGTTAGCTTGTGCTACAGCAGGATAATATAGTGTAACATTGCTGAATAAACATAAATCCAGCTAGTTTGTTAGCTTGTGCTACAGCAAGATAATATAGTGTAACATTACTGACTAAACATAAAGCTAGCTAGTTTGTTAGCTTGTGCTACAGCAAGATAATATAGTGTAACATTACTGACTAAACATAAAGCTAGCTAGTTTGTTAGTGGTGCTACTGCAAGCTAATAAAGCGTGACATTATTGACTAAACATAGAGCTAGCTAGTTTGTTAGCTTGTGCTACAGTGAGCAAATACCACATCATTATTTGCTTCACTTCTTTTCCTTTAATTTCCTCAGATCATTAAAATGAGTTCAATACTATTTAAAGATGAGTAAGGTAGCTATCATCCACAGAAGACCCCCTGTGTTGGTTCCTACTTGAGCTGTCCTTTGAGATGTTATAAAGTCGACTTCACAAGCAAGTGTTGGGCAGTTGTAATTATGTGTGAAGGCTCAATGCTTATTTCTGTGTGGCGTTTTTTATATGCATGGGTTTTGACCTAAGAAAATGCCACCAATTATTCTGCCAGATGTGTTTGAGAAAGAAAATTAACATGAAAAACAATCAGACTGTTGAGTCTTGAATCTATCTGTTCCCCTGTGCTGCAGGGACGCTCTGTGTGGACAGGACTCAAACTCCGGCTCCCAGGACGGTGCTGGTCGTGGTGAGCTCAGACCTCAGGGAGCCCGGACGTGGCCCCCAGCAGGACCCCCAGCTCAGGAGCATGCTGCAGTGGGCGGCTGCCTCCATGGCCGACATCCCTCACATCCAGCTGGGTTTGGACAGAGAGCTGCAGCAGGTGATTCTCAAACAGGTTCCCTTTGTGGTATTTACCATTCAACAGTTTCTTTAAGTGCGTCATGCTGCCTCAGTGAAACAAGGCATTCTTTCCGTGATAGTTGATGTTGGTTTTAAATGTTAGCAATCCTGTAAAGTGGTGTCCTGGTTTCCACCAGAGTTAGCTTTGTTGTGGAGACAAACGGATGAAAAAAAACCACCAGCTACTGCGGTGATTAAATAAAACAAGTTGTATAATGTTTTACAGTCACACAGCCCTGTCAGATCATCATCAACACCATCCAGCTTGTTCTGATGTGGTCACTTCCAAGAGGATATTAGCTGGAAACATTTATTGTAGAAAGCTGATATGGTTACGGTGTGTTTTTATACAGTTTAACTCTCAATGTTCAGTTTGTTTTGGTCCCTCTAGCAGTCTTACTCATTCTGTTTTTTGGCTCAGTTACACTTAGCCAGTGTACTTGAACCATTTTTTATTTACTTAAGCAATATATTAAAATGTTTTGTTGTTTTTTATTTTTTAATTTCTAATTCAGATAACCTCGTGTTTACTTTATCTGTTCTTCAAATTGCTAATGGGTTAATTTTGCAGTGAACACTGGTGTCATCAAGTTGTAAAAGGTATCTATCAGCTGTACGGTTTAGCTAGCCACGCGTTAATGCTAAGCTAGGGCTTTCAAATGCTAACACAGGCAGGGGAGCTGAGTGTCTGTCAGCAGTGACGCTGCTGATGTTTAGAAACAGCGAGAATCTGTTTACATGCTTCCAACAACATTCCAACTGTGTGTTGGCAACGCTCTGCTCTGACTATAAATCTGTGTTTGAGGTGGCAGTAAATACTGACAGATTTCTGGGTTGAAGTTGCTGCGACAGAATTTGTGGGGGTCTGTTCAAGCTGAGCAGATGTTTCCAGCAGCTGGATGAACTCCAGTGAACAAGTCACTGCATCATGTAGATCTGCTGTGAGGACTGTTCTGATATCAAACCCCTGTGATGATGTTATGCTCCAGGTTGTTTACTATGGGCGATTGGAGTTTATCACTTTGGATTATGTCAGGCCAGTTGTTGAAAAGCAACTCAATGAAGTCGATTTAATTGACTAGCTGTCAGCTATTAAGTTAATCTGCAACTGTTTGGATCAATCAGTCTGAGGGATTTTTAAAAAAAGAAAAACAACTCTAGATTCTCTGATTGAAGCTTATTAAATATCAATATTTTCTTGTTTCTTTCCTCCTCTGTGACATCTGAAGCTTTGGGAAACACTGATTGACATGTGTCACTGTTTTCTGACATTTTGAAGACCAAATGATTCATGCAGAGAACAATCAGTCAAAACAATTGTGAGTTGCAGCCTTGATCAACTTTTGGAAAAACTGTGCTTCATTAATTTCAATGATTGATCAATTATTGGTTGTTAATGTGACTGATTATCGCTCAAGGAAACTGTTTGCATCCCTAATTTGTTACACTTTGAGGCATGAGTGACTTTAATTGTGATCCAGATTCCCTCATATTCTTGTGTGCCATTTCTGTAGAATTATTTGATTTATTCAGGTTTCCCAGGAAGGAATATTACTTACTGTCACTCGATACCTTTCATTACTGGTGAGAAACCCATAAACATTTACCCAGATCTCTTTCCTGGCAGTGCACCGCACTAATAAATCTTAACTACAGCTGATAAGCGGTGTTTTAGGAGGCCTTCTGTTCAAAAGGCTGAAGTAAATGATCCCTTTGCGTCCTTTCAGCTCCCAGCGGTGGTCCAGAGGCTTCGAGAGAGGAGGTGGAGGGTTGGAGAGCTGCTGCACACGCTGCTGCGCTACTGTGAAGAGAGCCAGACACACAGCCAGCCTCAACCCAGAGAGGAGGCACCGCAGGCGGGCAGAGAACCTCACCATGCCCCCCTCTTCCAGTGGCTCCTGGAGCACGCCTAGGGCCTCTCCTCTTTTCTCCCCCCCTTCCCCCCTTCAGTTCCACACAGGGCTTTGCTAACTCCACGGCCCCTAGAGGGCGCCACACAAATCAGCTCATGAATGTGGGCGGCGTGTGTTCTGCATTGCATGCTGTGACCAAGAAGTACTTCTGTTGTATCCTATTTTTCTTTCCACTTTCTGTTTTGCTGCAGTTTTTTTTCTCACTTATCGGACCACATATATCACACGTGTTGATTTAGTGAGCTGTCTCCTGCACCCACCTACACTTGTCAGTCGAAAGGCCTCACACCTTGCTGCCGCTCTGCTCGAGCTAGAGAAAGAAAAAGAGAGAGAAGAGAGAGAGAGAGAGACCCAGCCCATGTGTTTCCAGACAGAAATGCAGCGAGTTGAGAGAATGTGTTTTCTGTTAGGGAATCCCCACAGCTGCTGGGCGGGTGATGTCATCACACCCACAGCTCACCTCTGTGGTGGTGTTCCCACATGTTCAGAGACCAACACACACACATCACACCACACCCTTTCATTGTGTTATCACATCCAATCCAAGATACACCGACACAGTTATTCCCCCCCCATAGTATTCTATTACTGTATTAATCCACTCAGTTACCGCGCTTCAGTCGAGGGTTTCTCACCGAATGCTGATACAGTTTGATCAGTATGCTGACATACAGTGAGTACACCCCTGCGAAATAGCACTTAATTATCTAATGAGTCTAAATTGTAATGGCATCATTTTAAAGGTGGTATTTTCTCCTGTGAAAAATTAAAAACAGGCCCCACAGAAGGACTTAATCCTCCTCAGCATGGCAGGAGGTGCCATTTATTAGAGACTATTTTTGGGAGTGTTTATTGCTGGAGGGTTTGTGTTGCTCCACCTTTCTCTTTAAAATACCCCAAATGTGTTCTATTGAATTCAACTGAGGTCATAGTGTTCACTTTTTCCTTCTTTAGAAACTCTTGTGTGCTTGTGCTTTGGATGGTTATCATGCTGGAATATTCCTCTTCTGCGAAACTTCTGCAGACTTGCAGTCATCTTGTCAGACACTGTTTTGGTATATTTACAGACGCTCGTGCTCTATCTGTAAATTTCATCTCCCCAACAACTTTTGCACCCCTGCAGCCCCATATCATGACACTCCGACGTCTGTGTTTCACTGTCAGGACGATGCATTCACTGTGGTAGTCTTGACCAAATCCACACATTACATGCTGGATTCCATCTGAGCTCAACAAATGTATCTTGGTCTCATCTGATCAAACAATGTGCTCCAAATATTCAGCAGGCTTCCTGTTGTGTTCTTTAGAAAGGTTTTATTCTGCAGTGTAGTGCCAACCTGCAAGCAAGGGTGTTTGTCTTGGACACTGTCACATTATAAACTGTCCTTCACACTGTCTGAGCTGTTACAGAATCTCTCATTTCCATTGATACCCCCCGTGTCAAGTCAGAAGCAGCTGTTGTCTGGTTTTCACAGCTGGATTGTGAAAGTAGTGCAGTGTCTTGTGGAGTCATTGTTGGAGGATGACCACTGGAGCCCTGATTAGTGGTATAATGGCTCCTTCTGTACCCCCTGATTACTGTGTTACCACTGATTTCTAGTAGATCTTCCTGTGTTCTTTTCAGGTATTTGTTTTTGATTTTTCTTTCGAGGAAATTCCCCAGTTACTACATTTGGAATCGTTTTGGCATTTAGATCCGCTTGCACAGAGGTGGACTTACTTTCGTAGCGGAGATTGACAAGACTTTGTTGAAGTTTTAAAACCATATCTTTGGTCATTTTGCGTTGATGAATGGGCCGCTCGCCTGGCTGCAGATTGATTAAAAAAGATGATGAAGTTGCCTCTTGAGAGTGTTCCTGTTTTATCTAATACTGTAACACTGCTTGCCTAGCAACAATCTCCTTCGTTGTCAAACTTAGTAAAATATTTAGAGTGGATAATGTTTACTAGGGCGGTCGGTATTTTAAGAAAATGTATATTTTTTTTGAAGGTAGAATATCTAATCAAACATGAAATGCTGCTCAAAGTGATGAAAAGAAACAGTGATGTTGGCTCAATGCTGCCATATGTAGCTCATACGGTGACTGTGCCCCCTTTTCTGCCCTGCAGTCGGTAGTAATGGTATGATGTGCCGGTCATCCGTCTCGGTGGCCCACGTCCAGCCGGGGGAAGATCCAGTGACGCAGATAGCGGATCATTTAGTAATTAAAGACACCGGTCCGGTCTGCACCTCCGAAACCACAAACTAGCAGCATCTGCATAGCTCAGGCCTGGACTCACACATATTCAGTCGCCCACGCTCCACAGTCACCTTGTGGAATCAAGGAGTCTGAACACCACAACTTCCGCTCAGTAACCCCCCCCCGCAGTCTCACACACACCCTCATTACTCACCAGCCTCCTTTGTGTACACGCACAGCACTACCAGCTACTTGCTGAGATGCACTTTTTTTATTTTTATGTTTTTGTGTGCGTTTTTTTTTTTTTTTTATTCGGCCGAGGAGAGACTGGGCATTTCCAGCGCTGCCCTCAGACCTCTCCTAGCTCGGACGCTCCGCTCTGCCTACAATCCCTCCCCCCAAATTACTGGGAGACATTTGTGTTTATTTATTGTTTATGGGTTGTTTTTTTTCTTTACAATGAGGGACCGAAGGATGACGTGATGCCGCGAGGTCCTCCGATTGAAAAACGCTGTAATATACCACGACCTCACATCTATTATTATAAACTAAGTGTTGTTGGTTGGTGTTTTCGCCTGCATGGCTCAATCTGACTTTTGAAGCATTATTCTTCTTCTTCTTCTTCATGTGCTGGCCGACACTAATTGAGCCGCAGTAACGCTACAGGCCTCTGCAGATGCCTTTTGTTTGTTGATGCTTAATCTCTAGGCTGCCAAATGGTCATATAATCTTAAAGGTGTTTTTTGTCCTGTATGATTTGTTTACACACGAAAATGAATATTTATGAAGAAAAATCCAACCTGTTATGAAAAGAAATGAAGTTACGGTGAAGTATTAACCTGAGAGAGCGCTTATATATCGGTTTACATTAAAGGAATGTATTAATGGACAGAAGCGCATCAGTGTACAAACTCTCTCCCGGTGTGAATGTCTAGTTGTTCCAGCAGGACTTTCCCAGTTTTTTTTTTGTTTTTTTTCCCAGCACCTTGCCCCCTTTTCTTCTATTTTCTTGATCTACTTTACATTCCTGTGCATCCCACATGACTTATAGCGCTTTGTTGTGTTTGTGAAAGCTGAATGTGAACCTGCCAAGACTCCATTTTAGATGCAGACACTGTAAATCTGTTTTTGCTACTGTTGTTCCCAGTGTTACTTTCTGCCTCTCAGACAGGACGTTTGAAAAGAAAAGAGAAAAAAAAAAGAAAGAACAGTAAAAAAGAGATTCCTCCTCTCCTGTATTTTTCCTGCTTCCTTGTAAAATCCTGCCAAATAAAGATATTTAATAAATTATAATATAAGTTATATAACTGAGTTCACTACTTGTTCTCCCTCGTGGCATTGCTGAATAGTTTACACATTCTAAGCTTGAAGTCAGAAACTAAATTTGTTTATGTCAAAGCTTGGTGTGACAATAAAGCTTTTTCATGTGCGCTATTTGTTCGTCTCCTTTTCGTGAAGAGATCACATCCTTGTTGCAACACGCTGAATGTTGTTTCTCTTTGAGTTGCGTTATTACACCTGAAGAACTAGACTTAGTCAGAATCTAGTCTAGTCTCAAGTATCTGATGGTTTTTGTTGAATGTTTGACATTTTGTAATGGAGAAGTCAACAATTAATGAGCAATTAATCATTTATGTGTGTTAATAGCTTCTTACAATGTGAGAATTAGCTGCTTTTAATGTTTTAATGTATTCCTCAGTACTGTTCTTACAAACAATGCTGACATATACTTACTGGCACTGGTTTTTTCCAGTGTATTCATGTGAAAGCTTACATCCATCCATTATCTATACACCACTTAATCCTCACGAGGGTCACGGGGGGCTGGAGTCTATCCCAGCTGACTTAGGGTGAAGGCAGGGGACACCCTGGACAGGTCACCAGTCTATCACAGGGCTACACTTAGAGACAGACAACCAAGCACACTCACATTCACACCTACGGGCAAATTAGAATCACCAATTAACCTCAACATGTTTTTGGACTGTGGGAGGAAGCCGGAGAACCCGGAGAGAACCCACGCTGCACGGGGAGAACATACAAACTCCACACAGAAAGATTCCGGTGCCCCCACCGGGACGTGAACCAGCGACCTTCTTGCTGCGAGGCAACAGTGCTACCAACTCCACTACCTTGCAGCCCGAAAGCTTACATGTAAAACATATAATCTGAGTCAGCTGTGATGCATCTTTATAGATAAAACCACCATAAACAGTTTATAAGACGGTTTGACTGAGCTCCAACTGCAAAATTAAAGCTTTAAACTTCAAAGCAGCTGTCACAATAATCTAATGATACATAAAAATAGTTTAAGGATCTGTAAACTTCTCCCACTACAACTATTACACGTGGCGATCAGGGATTTAGTCGGAATTTAGCTTTTGATTAGAAAGTCTGATCTTCTGACATCTTTTTTATGAATAAACTAACAATTAATGAGCAATTAATGACATATGTTAACACATTCTAATGTGAGAAATAACAGCTTTTAATACAGTAAGTTGGATATTTTTTTGACAAAAGTGATTTTTAAGACATCACATTGGGGTCTGGGAAAGTCTAATGTGCATTTTTCTGTGTGTTGTCAGTGCAATGTTGACATACTTATGAGCAAGTTTGGGTGAATATTGTACTTGTCACTCCACCGTATACATTTGACAGCTAGTTTTACATGGAAAATGTACAATTTAAAGTCGCACTTTTTCTGCCAAAACCACCAAAAGCAGTTTATAAGACTATTAAACTGAGCTCTGAACATTAAGACGTTAAAGTTACTGCATCAATAATGATTTAATAATATCTAATAATAATACGCTCCGAATTATATCTCAGTACGTTTACTTTTATGAAAGTGTTAAAATACTATTTTTTTTCCACTGTGGTGTGACTGCTTCTTTTTTCATGGCTTTTGTGCTACAACTGACTAAAGGTGCAGTAAAAATAAGATTTAAAAAAAAGACCTGCAGCTTGATCAGTAATGAAATAAATCATTAGTTGCAGCCGTGTTATAGTGAACACAGATTCGTTTCAAGTTTTGATGACAGAGTATTTTGATTAAGTGCAGGTTTCTTGTTGATAACAGCCTGCTGTTAACTTCAAAGATCCTCCCAAATGTATTAAAAGGCCGTCTGTCTGGTCTACTCCTTCTTACCGTTACCTGTGCTGCAGGTGTCAAAGGAAACCCTATTAAAGTTTGTCTCAATAACAGTGCTGCACTTCTCCATTCTGCCTGGATACAGCGGCACAAAACAGCCATTGTTGCCGTGCGATTAGCTCGTACCACACACAAATGTATAATTAGGTAATGCTTGTACAATGGCCGGTACCTGTCAGCATCCAGCTCTGTGTGCAGAGCATGAATGGAGGTGTCTGTCTGACGTGGAGGGAGGGATGGGATGAAAGAGAGAGGGTGGAGGGAAGGTGGGAAGAGCTAATTGCAGGCTGTATCGTGATACAGGAGGCGAGGAATGTGTCTGACAAGCACATCTTTGATCTCTTGAGTGGCGGGAAGCCTGCTGACAGACAACAAGAGGCTCTCAGGCCAACGGGGATAACGGTCGGCTCAGTTTGTGGGTGACCTGACGGAGTGAAATCATTTCCAGAAGTCCTCAAATTAGGAGGCATGTGGGGGGGGATGTAAGGAGATCTGGATCATGGGGGAAAAAATACTTGGAGTTCCTGAGCAACATGACAAATCGTCTCCTGGAGCACACTGAGATCTATACGATTTGCTCCTGACTGGTGTTTCTGACGAGTGAAACCGGCTTAATGACGTGTATTCCTGATATGTTTTCTAGCATTTCCGATACATTTCATGCATGTCTTGATCGGTGCTATAAGGGCGTCAGCATGTCTACACCGATGGACGCAGCACGCAAACCGGGCCCGGCAAAGAAAAAGTAAAAATACATTGGGAAAGTCCCATTACTAACTGATGTGGGTACAAACCAAAAAGACATTTCGGGCATGTGCATTTTCACTGTTCATTGAACTAAATAAAAATTATAAGCAAAAGGAGACACAGTGAAACAATACGACATGATGGTGGCCTTTTGATTGGTACAACAGTCAGAGTCAGTGTTAATCTCAAGCTACATTTACTGCACTACAAGTTTTTCTTATTTATTAATTAGGCTGGCAGTCATTTTTAGCCGTTACCCATTTCTGCTCACAGCTTCAACAATGTCTTTGTTACTTTTAGGGTAGTTCAGATGTTTAATCTTGTTTTTTTGTTTGTTTGTTTGTTTGTTTTTACCTCTTGTGATATTTCCAGTGTTTATTCCTTTATTCAGCAGTATATTTTAGCAGTTTGTCAGTTTCTAGGAGACTGTTGCAACCATCTTTTCTTCACTTTTAGCGATGCATTTCAGCCATTTACCTATTAACCAGCTTAATACCTGAATCGCTGAATCATTTTTATACAAGTTAAACGACATAAACAGTTTTTCCATCAATAATTAGCCATTACCCCGCTGGCCTTGCCCTATTAGCCACTAGCCTACTTTTAGCTGTCTATTTCAACTATTATTCAACACTTTGACGTAATTATTCCAGCTGTTTAGCAAATATCCTACATTTAGCTATCTATTTCAACTGTTTGTCTTTACTTTTAGATAACTGTTTCAGCTATTTAGCCATTGCCTTCATTTAACTTTCTGTTTCAATGGTGTATTATTACTTTCAGCCAATAATTTCAGCCATTAACCATTAGCATGCGTTCAGCTTTCTATTTCAACGATTTATTATTACTTTTAGCTAAGTGTTTAAGCTATTTAGCCACTGTCCTACTTTTAGCTATCTATTCCAACTCTTTTTAAAAAAACAATCTTTTTAGATTACTTTTAGCCAACAGTATCAACCATTTACCCATTAGTATGCTTTACGGCTATCAATTAAAATTAATTATCACTACTTTGACAAACTGTTTTAACCATTTAGCCATTAGCATACTTTTAGCCATCTATTCTAATTATTTATCATTACTTTTAGCTTACTCTCTCAACCTATTTTTAGCTGTGTATTTTAAAGGTTTTCATTACTTTTAGCTAGCAATTTCAACCTCTTCTCCATTCCTCTACGTTTGGCTGTATTTCATAACTTTAACTCATCTGTTTTAAGTGCTACATTTCAGTCACAGCTTACTTTTTGTTGTAACTGTTTTCCATTACTGTTAGCTATTCCAACCATTTGTGCATTGTCCGACATTTAACTGTGTTTAAACATTTAGATGTCTTTTCTGATACCTTTAGCTCAGTATTTCAGACATTTATCTACTAGCCCATGTGTAGCTGTCTGTTTAAAGGTTCATCATTGTGAGCAGTACATGTTTTTAACTATTTAGACCTGTCTGCTTGCTCCTTGGCACTGTTTCAATGCAGTCAGCATGTGGATATATCCATCCATCCATTTTCTATACACCGCTTAATCCTCACTAGGGTCGCGGGGGATGTGGATATATCTTACCTTTTAAATGTAATGTCGTTGACTTGACGAATAAGGCAACATGTAACGACCCTGACTTCTTAATCCAGTCATCAGTATCTTCCTTTTGCCTCAAAATATTATTATTATCACATGTAAAGCTCATCCCGCGCGTTCTTGGCAGTGCTGGGAGTAGATTTGTTATCAGTTTATGTGCTGGATGTTGTGAGAACCGTGGTTAAGTGGTTGAGTGACACAGACCGGCTCCTACATGCATTGCATCAGTTGATACTTTGGGTGGCCACAGCAGAGTAAGTATCCAGGATGAAACTTGGCCCGCGATAATAATCACTCTAAAACATGACCACAGGAACCGTAATCGAAGATTGCAACAGCTTCACAGAAGTGCAGCCACAGGAATGCCCCTCAGACACAACAGCAGCTTACAAGGAAATCAGACGCTTTTATTAATCTGTTCTGACAGGCACTCGCATTGTCGTCGCTGCAGCGTGCGATTGTATGGCAATTATTGTGCAGAAAATCGCCTGTCAGCAGTGCAGGGAGACAGACGGGAGCCCGGCATCATACCACCCTCAGTCTGCTTCACAGTGGCGTGGGCTGCTGGGTCTGACATCAGATAGGCTGGGCCCTGGCTCCCCCCCCACCACTCATCCACTGACATCACTTCCCTCCCAACAGCAACAAACGGCGGGTTGTTGGGAGCGTCCGCTGGATGAGGCGAGAGGAGGGGGGATGTTTGAGTCAAGCACATGGAATCCATGATATACTGTACTGGGCTTTGTGTTGGAAAGGGGAAAACCAGCTACATCATCTCTACTAGTCTTTTGTTTACTCCGGCCTGAAGAACATCTCCTTTGTTTTGTTTTGTTTTTTTTTCTTCTTCATCTGCACTTTCTTTCATCACCATGGACTAATAGGTGTGAGCGCTTAATGAGCCGAGGGGCTGAATCACCGAGGTGGGTCTAAGGTCGCGCTGGATGACCTGCTGTACTGTAGCATGCAGAGCAAATGAGGCACATCCACCGTTTCTCACATAAAAAAGCTAAATCAGAAATTAATTTTCTCCTGGATCAATTGTTTTTAGGCGGAGGTTGCCGTCCCGTAGTCCAAAAACCTCACAGGCCAACTGCAATACTGAAAAAGTTTATGGAGCGGAAAATCTAATAATGCAAATATTTTGGAAAATTGGGGAACCTCTGTTTTTTTCTTTTTTTTTACAACTCACTATTCAACTTTCCCAGTGGATGTATGAAAGAAGGGAGTGTTCAAGTTGTTTACATTACGCAATTGCACCAGCAGCACTTGTAAGGGATTTAAACTGCTTTACAATAGTTCCTTAATTTGTTTATGTTTCTTCTTGCTTCATTCTGTCTGGAACAGCTTTTTGTCTGACGTATAACCCCACCTGTCACACTCCCAAATGGATTTGATTTGATTTTAAAGTTGATTATTAACACAATTTGAAGTGGATGATGTTACAAAACATTTTTTACACGATTAATCCGTCAGTCTGTGTTCAAGTTGTCACTCAAACCAATACTTGGAGTTGCTGCAGCTGCACAAATGAACAATTAATCAATTGCTTGTAGCTGTTTCAGCCTTTAATCCTTTTAATCCTGAGCTAATCTATTTCAACTGTTTATACATGCACTTAACTATTTACATAAATCTTAAAGCTCTTTTTCATCTACTATTTTAGATAGTGTAAGCATTTCAACAAAACAACTATTTATCCATTCATTTTAAACTGATGAAGCAATTTGTTCATTGTTTTTCCATGAATTCAGCTGTTTATCCTTTAGTGAAGAGGTTTATTTTAAGCATCTTCACAATCGTTAGCTGTTTCGATCGTGTTCTGACTCACTGTTACAGACATGTATTCATTATTTTTAGCTATTTCAGTTGCTTACACTTGAATGAAATTTTTCCATTTTTAATCACGTTTTAGGTCCCTGTTTGTGTAATTTGTTAATTACTTTTAGCTGTTTCAGCTCTTCATCTACTACTGATTAGACAGATTTTTATCTGTCTGAATAACTAGTTCAATTTCAGCCATTTTATGAATTAATCTTTCTCAACTTTAGGAAACTATTTCACTGTCTATTCTTTACTTTTAGCTCACTCTTTCAACTATTTCAGCATTGCAGTTACAACTTTTTACCAATAGCTTACTTTTAGCTAACCATTTTAGCCTCTTGTCCATTGCTTTCACCACTTCTTTTAGCTAGTCAGGGTTAGAGTCTTTACCCTGCTCTTTATTTAAACCATTTATCCAATAATTTTAGCTATACATTTCAACAGTTCTATGACATACAGTGGCGTAGTTCATTAGCATTTTAGCTGTTTCAACTGTGCGCAATTTATTCAAATTTGAAATTGAATTTACCCATTAGCTTACCTTTAGCTGTCTGTTTCCACTGTTTCATCACTGTTAGCAACCAGTTTAAACAATTCATCCAAAAGCCTGCTTTTAAATATTTCAACCATTACATTACTTTTGGTTTGCGTACCATTAGCATTCAATTTCAAGTTTTTTCTCATTTAGCATTGTTTTTCATTAGCCTTTCAGTTGTCTGCTTCAAGTTTTAGCAATCAATTTCAAGCATTTAACTACTTGCTTATTTTTGCCAGTTAGTATAGCAGTTTATTGTTCATTTTAGCTTGGTTTTTGTTAGCCAGTTTCGCTATCTGTTTTCATAGTTTCTTTACTTTAAGCTATTTCTGCCATCCATCCATCCATTAGGCAAATTTTAGCAGTTTATTGCAGCTTCCCCTAAAGCTTTACAAATAGTTTTGTTACTTGAATCTCCCTATTTCTGCCATTTATTTATTATAGCCTACTTTAAGCTATAAACAGTCGGATTATTTTTCGTTATTTATTCGAACCATTTAATATTTTAAGTTCACTGTTTTAGCTTCTAATCCATTACCTATCCAGCCTACTTTTGGCTGTATATTTCCATTGGTTATATTGCTTTTTGCTATCTATTTCAACTGTTTAATCATATTTTAAATGTTATTTCATTAGCCTTCTAGCTATCTGTCTCAAATTTAAGCAATTTCTTTTAAGCCTTTATCCATTCACTTCCTTTTTAACTTTATATTTTAGCCTTTCGTCTGTTTTTCTGGTAGCTCTTTATTTCAGCTCTTTATCGATGAGCCTACTTTCTATCTATATTAGTTTTTTAATCATTATTTTCTATTTCAACCATTTATCTGTTATCTGCTACTTCAAACTATTTGATAACTGTGCTTTTAGCCATGTTTTAACAGTTTTATTCCTTTTAGCTCACTATGTCTTTTACTTTTCCATTGGTCTGCCTTTAGCTATTTCCACTGTTGGTATTGCTTTCAGTTGCCATTTGAACAGTTTCTTTATTTTTAGCATTCTGTTTCTTTTGGCTGTTTGCTACCTTTTTCAAGTTTAAGCATTTATTTCGAAGCATTTATGCATTTGCTTACTTTTTTAGCTATTTTGGCTGTTCACTACCTTTAGCACATTATTTCAGCTAATTGTTCATTTTCCTACTTTCTATCTTCATCGACTGTTTATCACTTTTAGCAATCTATTCCACCATTTACCCATTAGCCTACTTTTACAAATGTACTAACTGAATTTTTAGCTTTGTATTTAAATAATTTTAGAAACTTAAGTCTACTATTTTAGCCATTTATTTTCTAAGCCTACTTTTGATTATTCATTTCATCTCTTTGGCCATTACTTTAACTCATGTACTTAAGTAGTCTTGTTTTGAATTGTGTTGTGGGTTTCAGGTCACTATCTTAGCTATTCAGTGCCCCTATTTTATCTGTTTCCGCTGTTCATCATTGCGTTTGGCCACTATTCCAACTGTGTAGGCATTTGTCCATTACTTTTATGTTCCTGTATATTCAATATGTTTACTTAGGTTAAATTGTAATTAGTCTTTCTTAGCAACGCCATTGACAATTGCACCATTTACACGTGGACAACAGCTAAAGCACTCCCTGGGGGAATACACCTTGTTGGGACTCACTGATCTAGAAACACCCTGGATCTGCTCCTGTAGTGTTTTTGCTTATGTCATGGTAACAGAAGTTTGCGGTGGACGTCCTAAATCTTGTTGATTTTATGGGTGAGATCCCACGGAGTCACCGCCGGGGAGGTGGAAACACTCGTCTTTCAAAACGTGAGGAGAACACTAACCCGTGACATTTCCCTGCTATTGTGTTTCTTGTTTCCAGGAGTGACCACACAGTGATGCTGTAACTATGAGTGTGTGCGTGAAAGCCGGACAATAACTCCGGCGCTTCAACTCCCAGAGCAGCTCAGACCTTGTCGCAATGAAAACTATCAGCGTGGGAGCGGAGGGATGGAGGCAGTTATGAAAGAGCTGGGGGGGGAATAGCCAGAGATAAGAGTTTATGTCAGAGGGAACAGCTGAGTCATGTCCATATTATGAGTGTTTATCTGAAAATGAGCAGACAGAGTGGACTCTGGGCGGAGGGGAAATATCACAGTCAAGAGGGGCTGCTGGTGTTTCCCAAACCGACTGCTCTGTTTTGACTCTGCCCTGATTGAAACCAGCAGTCGGAGCTTGGCGTGGACCTGGTAACGTGGTAAATAATATTAGGTATTATCTGTGAACATGAGTAGTGAGCCCGACTGACTCACAAAAACAACAAACACCCCTCAGGCGGCGCACACTACACACTATTGTTTCCACCCCGGGGAGCAGAAACAGCAGGGGTGGGCTGTCACCGGTTCATCCGACGGAGTTGCCTCATCTGCTGTTGTGTCTCTGCTCCCCTTTAGTCAGCTTCCACCCACTGCTGTATTGACTCAGGTGTGCGTTAGGGTTTGACAGAAACGAGGAAACATCTTGACGAATCATTTCTTCCTTCTCGATGACCTCAGGGCACTTCCTCCACGTCCACACCCACCGTGGAGATGACAGTGTGGTCTGGGTCTTCGGGCCACTTTGATGCGAACCACAGAGAGGAAGCGGAGGTCAAGTCTGGGAGATCCTGACAAATGAATAAGAGATGTCTCCTGCTGATGTCATGCTTGGCCTGCCCCGGTGCTTTTCCTTTTCCTCCATCCTCCTCCACCTCTTCCCAGCCTTGTTTCATGGCAGTCTAACTGGCAGTGGATCTCCTATTGTAGGAATCAATGCTTCACAAGAAAAGATGTGGTTTGGAGATTAGCAAGGAGCTAAAGGTCGTCCAGAACTGATCTGCTCACGTGTATTTTGACCAATTTTCCATTTTTAGCTTATAGTTTTAAGCATTTAAACTTTTGTTTTTGTTATTTCAGCAGTTTATCAAGTCATGCTCAAGTCACGTTTATCACATGTTCTTTACTTTTAGCTCATTGTTTCAACTATTTATCTGTTAGCGTATAATGAGCTAACTATCTGAGTCATTTTACAGTTAATTCATTAATTTAAATTATTTTTAAACAGTTTTTCAACTACTTTAAGCTCTTTATGTCAACTCTTTCTCCAGAACTTTAAGCTATCTATGTAAATGTTTCAGCACTTTTGAAATCTGTTGCATGTATTTATTCACTGATCTTTATTAGCTCTTTATTTCAACCATTTATTTGAGCTGTTTGGCTCACTATTTCAACTATTTGTCTGTTCGAGCGCACTATGTGAACCATTTCTATCAAATACAAATTGAGAGCGACTGAATTCAATTTAAAAATATGACATTCACTTTCAGGTTTACTGGAATTCAGTTTCAGTCTGCTCAATTAAATTTTAAATTTTGAGATTCTGAAATTTTCTTTACAATTAGTAAAGTTGAGCAAGTTGAAATTGAAATATAAATTATTCAAATTAAGTTTCTAGTGACACATATTTCTTCAAATTCAGTTCTTCAAACTTTCGTTAAAGAATTGAATTTGAATGATGAAAACTGAATGTAGAGTAGAATTTTCAGTGAGAATTAAACATGAATTCAGAGCAACTGAGTTCAGTTTCAAATGATCATATTCAGTTTCAGGTTTATTGGAGTTCAGTTTCAATCTAATATATTAAATTGAAAATATGAATGATTCAAATTCAGTCTCTAGTGGGACGAGTTCCTGCCTAGACTTCTGGCTTATTGAATTATTGAATTTCCCTTCTGGGATAAATAAAGCATTTTTCATTTCATTTCATTTCATTTCATTTCATTATTATTTCAACCACTTCAATCACTTTTTCCAATGTTTGTTTCTTTTCACTAATTGTGTTAAGTATTTATATATTAGCCTGCTTTAAGATAACTATCTTTACTTTTGGCTAACTATTTCAGCTTTTTAGCCACTAGCATGTTTTTAGTGGTCTATTTAAATTATTAAACATTATTTTGTGCTATTTTTTCTTTTTAGCTATTTAGCCATTAGCCAACCTTTAGCTAACTAGCTATTCAGCCACTATCCTACTTTTAGCTGAATAGCTACTTAGCCACTAGCCTACTTTTACCTGTCTGTTTTAACTATTAATCATTACTTTGAGCTCAGTATTTAACACATATATCGCTTTAGCCTACTTTTAGCTGAATAGCTATTTAGCCACTAGCCTACTTTTAGTGTTCTATTTCAATTATTAATCATTACTTTGAGTTAATTATTTCAGCTATTTAGCCATCAGCCTACTTTTAGATAACTAGCTTTTTTAGCCATGCGTTTAGCTGTATAGCTATTTAGCCACTAGCCTACATTAGCTTTCATTTTCAACTTTTAACTTTTTAACTTTTTTTTTAGCGAACTATTTTTAACCATTAATCCATAGATGATTTATAATTCCTTTGGCTACTTGTTTCAGCTATTTTGTCATTAGCCTACTTTTAGCTGTCTATTTCAACTATTAATCCTTGGTTTGAGCTAATTATTTCCACTGTTTATCCATCATACATTTATTTAACCATTAAGAATTCCTGCTTCCATTGTTGGCACATTTTTGTGTAGTCAGTGTGTGAATATGTCTTTTGATGGAATTTCTTGCTGACTAAAACCTTCCTCTTTTAGGCTTCCATTTACAAACTGAGGGATGACATATATATAATTACACATCACTGAAAGAGTGCAATAAACTTTTTTTTGGTGTCAGTCTACCGTACCTGACAAATAGGATTTCCCCAGATAGTTTGTGTGTCATTGGAAAAACTTCCCAGTGTTCGAGTGACAAGTGAGTTTGAATGTCTTGTTTGGACAAAGGGCTCAGTCTGCAGTGTGATGTAAGGTGGAGAGGGGAGGAAAAGGGGAGGTTTGGGAGGAAGGATTAAAGGATGAGAAGATGCAGGAGCTCTATGGGAGTGCTGACAGTGTGTTGGACTCCATGTGGGGGAGAAATGAGTGTTCACACACATTTTAAACAAGCGACTGAGCAGCGTTTTTCATGCAGCTGCACATGGGTGTGGACAGTTTGCACTCTGGCATGTTTATGAGTGTTTATCTGCATATTTTTAGCCACGACGGCAGCAGCAGGGCTTCAAGCCTGTTGGATGGTCGATCAGTCGGTTCGTCGCTTTGGTTCTATTATGTTCACTGCCGATTAAAATGTCCCGGGTCATCCATCCATCCATCATTATTTATACACCTCTTAATCCTCACTAGGGTCAAGGGGGGCTGGAGTCTATCCCAGCAGAGGACACCCTGGACAGGTCACCAGTCTATCACAGGGCTACGCTTAGAGACAGACAACCAAGCACACTCATATTCACACCTATGGACAATTTAGAATCACCAATTAACTTCAACATGTTTTTGGACTGGACCGGGACACGACCTTCTTGCTGCGAGGCGACGGTGCTACCGAACCACCTTGCAGCTCCCGGGTCACTCCATCTAAAATCTAATTATTGATATATGAATATTTGCCCCAAAAATAATAAAATAAATTAAATAAATAGAAATAAAAAGAGGAATGTGTCTGAAAACAAAAATGATTCCAGCTTTATGGGAAGCAGTGTATATCTATAAATGTAAATATAATTCATTTTACTCACCAAAAATTGTGTTTATTTGAACACAACATCCATCCACCTTTCTTTTCTCATGAAGAGTTCAGTCACTCTGTTGAGCAGGTGATCCATGTGTTTCACTTCCATCAATAAGTCCTTTTCTATGGGTCTGGGTCTGTCCAGTCCTTTTTCTGTTAAAAGTTAAAAGGTAAAATTCTCTTTAGGGCTGAGAATGTCTGCTTGTTTAACTTAAAAACAACAACAGCTATTTATACTTTTACAATAAGGTTTTAGCTTGTGCAGGTCGCTAACCGCTAGCTTTGGCTAAGCTCTCTGACCATCCAATCATGTGAAAGTGCTGATGTCATCGTAGGACAGCTAGCTGGCCCTGGGATCACCAACTCTCAATCTGATTGGTTAATCAACAGTTTCATTACAATACATTTTAAGCTACAGACGCCTGCACTTTTGATTCTGAAGGCCTCAGGGCAGATTTCTGTGACCCTGGCAACACATGATGATTGACATATGATTGGATAATAAAAAATAAAAAAAAGCTCTAATATAAACGTAAGCTGCTGGAAGCACCACAGCCCAGAGACGCTATTAAATGAAGAGAACAGACTACTGGGAACATTTTTCAGCGTAAGTCAGTGATTCTGACAGAGTTTAGGCCTGCAGAAAAGGCCCTGTTCCAAATAACACAAATATTGGTAGTTTGATCTAAGTAGAGCAAAGTTCCTGAGTTTGAAATAGTTCTACAAATATTACTAAGATTTTTATTTACTTATTTATTTATTTTAAACACACGCATTAAATGCAACCACTCCCCATTATTTTTTCATTTAACTGATATACATTTTTACTATGGATGTTATTCATAGTTTATCCAGTTCTTAAGGGTTTTTTCTGTAATTGTAATTATTGTCTATTATACAACAAAATCTATAAAACTGCCAATAATACCTGTTTAACAAATGACAGCTAGAAACTATAAAAACATATATTTGTACAGTGTCCCCTCCATAAATTACAGCCGTAATGCTGAATAAATAAATAAATAAATAAATAAATAAATAAATAAATAC